CGAAGAAAGAATTACCATCGGCCTCAGCAGGAATGCCCAAATCCGGGCCGTCGGCCTCCTCAAAGGTGGTGGTCATCCTCGGCCAGAGTTGGAGGTCATCCTCCTTGTCACCATAGACATAGTACTTCAAGAAGCCGAGGGCGGCCATCTTGTATTCAGTAATGTAATCCTTCACGCTCCTCGGCCCCCCTTCCAAGAAAGCCTCCACCTGAGCGTCCAAAATAGAGCTCTTCGGCGGGTCGTGCAGGTTAAACCTCCCGGTATGGCCGAGGGAGGGAAACTCGGTGCCACTCTCACCAATGGACACAAACACGAACTTGCTCTTCCACCCATGAATGGACGTAGGCAAATCCGTGAAGCTCCTCTTCTTCGGCAGCTGTTGAAGAGTAGCATAGGCCGCACAGTTCTTGTGGCTTCCTCGGCCGATCTGGTACAGATTCATGAATAGTGCCGTTGTCGGCCTGTAGCCCAACTCCTCACACCGGAGCAAAAACCCCACAATCAAGGAGTAACTGCTCGTCGTCAGCAAGGCCGGAGGAAGCCCTACCATGTCCAGGTACTCAGTAATGAAAGGGTGAAGGGGGAACCTCAACCCCTTAGCAAAACTCATCGGGTACACTCCAAAGTACCCCGGTGGTGGAAGAAGAACATGGTCCGTCGGCTTGGGTGCCCTAACCCGCCCGAATGGCCCCACGTACATCTGGGCAACAAGATAGTCGGCCGCACTGCTCTCCGGCTTGATCAAATAGATGTTGGTGAGATCCAGGTAGGAGATGCCGGGCCCACTCTTCGGCCTCCTCACTCTCTTCGGCTTAGCGGCTCCCTTAACGGCGGACACCGGCCTCGGGCACGGAATGACAGCAGAAGTGGACGCCCCGTCCACCACTCGGGACGCACCTACGTCCTCACCCTTTGAAGAGGAGGCGGACTCCTCGTCCTCGCCTTCCTCGTCCACCGGCTCTCCGGATTTGTAGGGACTCAAACGCTCTATCTCCTCTTCAAACTCCTCGAGCACCTCGTAGTCAAGCGACCTCGTGGAGGGCTGGTCGTCGTAGGGGTAGTCGTCTTCGTTCAAGCTCTTCATAACTACTACTACGGGCCTAAGGAGACTAACTTAAGATCTAAGGGTGTTCAAACGCCTAACACTAGATCAACAAGCTAGGAAGCAAAGTATGAAAAGTGAGGGAGATCGCGATGAACACTAACCTTGAACAAAAAAGAACACGAAGAACAGGCTTGGGAGTTTATCTCTCTAGAAAATCGGCCAACACTTCGACAAATTCAGAATACAAATACGTTTTCTCGTCGGAGGGGGAGGGGTATTTATAGAACCCCCCACCCAACGGTCACTACACGTGGCACCCCCCCAATGGCCACGCCAACGGCCACCAATAGGGGGCGACCACGTCGCCAACGGACCAAACCCAATATCAACAGCCCACTGGCAGGGAGGACTCCACGGCCTACATACGCTCACCGGCTTTACAAATTCCAGCAAGCGCCCACTACGTCCCACTTGCTCGCCAAGATCACAACTGCCAAACAATAAGGAGACGGCAACGGCCAGGAACGTATCGGCCACAAGATCAAAGGACCCAAGAGCCCAAGAGCCATCGGCTCCTCGTAATAACCCTCGATGATAACTCTCTACAAGCGATCTGCGCACAAGAGTTCTCCCACAGGGTTACCTTGGCCAGAAAATCGCCATGAGGGTTGGATTCAGGGGGACTACGGCGAGACCGCTTTGGCCGGGGACTCAAGCAACTCCTTCACCCCTCACGCTCTTCGGCCTGAAGCAGTGGGGGACTGGGGGACTACATCGGCCTCAACAAAACAAAAGAAAAATGCAAACAAGGTAACCACAGAGCATGGCCACATCGGCCACGCATCACACTGCACCTCGTCGACCAAAGGCACACAACGTCACCTGCAACGGCCAACGAGCCACCAAAGGCAAGGACACTCATCGTCCTCCGCCATCACTAAATCACAAGGGGCTCTTCGGCCAGAAACATGAAAGCTAATCAACGACGGCCAAAAGGAGTGCGTAAACACCCTCATCGGCCATCGTCCTAGAAGCAAGGACCAACTTCAGTGGCCTCATCGGTCCAAACACAAACTTCAGCCATCAGCGCCCAAGCAAAACGTGCCTTCAACGGCCACCATTGAAAGAAGGACACTCATCGTCCCAAAATGAAGACATCAAGTAAAAAACGGCCTCCCTGTCCACAACGAGGAACAGGTAACGGCCAAGGGCAACAAAGCACAGGAATCTACTCTCCTTCGCTTCGTCTACGTCTCAGCTTAGAGAGTGGGGGACTCCTGATGGAGTATATGGGTCTGAGCCCCAGGACCCACATACTCGGAAGAACAGAAAGCACAAGACAACAGAGTGGCGCCCTCGTCGGCCAAGACGCCTCCGTCGGCCGAAAAGGAGCCAACTCGGATTATGGTCCTGAGTCCAAGGAACCCGGGTGCCCTCGTCGGTCGTGCCCTCGTCGGCCGTGCCCTCGTCGGCCACGCCCTCGTCGGCCAAGAAGACCTCTCAGAATCGGATTTTATACTTGTTCATTTATACAGCCCATTAGTGGCTTTGTATTCGGCCCAGTAGCGGTCCAGTTGTAAATGGGCCTCCCAAGCCCAAGGCTTGGGAGCCCAACCCTAATTTTCTCTATAAATACTCCCCTTGGGAGTAGTTATAGGGGTTACAAAATCATTCTATTGAAGCATATCATTGCACTTCTCTCTCTAGCTCTCACTTCTCTCTAGATATACTCTATCAGGTATATATGTGTCAGCCTCCTGGCTTTATTCATCCTCATTATCCCTCTCATATCTGTAAACTTAAAAAGGCTCTCTATGGTCTGAAACAAGCTCCACGAGCTTGATTTCATCGGTTTAGTGGGTTTCTCCTTTCTCATAGTTTTTTCAGTCAATCAGACTCTTCTATGTTCACATACCGTTATCAGTCACGCATCATTTATATATGTACTATTATATGTTGATGACATTCTTATTACAGGTAGCTCTATGTCTCTCGTACAACATTTTATACGAGTGATGTCTAGTCAGTTTGCTATGAAAGGTCTAGGAGATATTCATTATTTCCTTGGTATCCAAGCACAACGTACTCCAAAGGATATTTTTCCGTCTCGGCATAAATATGTCACAACCTGTTGCATCGTTTCCATCTTCATACAGTTAAACCTGCTCACACCCCTATACCTTCTCGAACCACTTTCTCTCACATATGGGGAACTGCTCAGTGATGGTACTGTGTATCGCAGTATGGTAAGTGCATTACAATACTTGAACTGTGTTCAGAACACACAAAAACAGCAGCAAAAACTATGTTCAAACTTAATAGCAAGCACATTGACATTAAAAAGTAAGTTTATCTATGAATATGTTCCAAGAAAACACCACACAAGTACATGCTACTTGTGTTTGTAGCCCAACTCACCAAAGGTTATTGAACTGTTTGATAGATAGCTTTGTGTGAAGGTTCCTATTTTCTTGAACTGTTTGATAAAAGTAAAGGTTTGTGTGATAAAAGTATGGTAAGTGCATTACAATATGATAAGTGCATTACAATACTTGAACTGTTTGATAAAAGTAAAGGTTTTGTTTTACACTTTTTTAATAGATAGCTTTGTGTGAAGGTTCCTATTTTCTCACATGTGCTTTGTTTTCTATTGCAAGCATCCCCCATGATTTGGGATTGTGATTATCTCTTCTGAATTGTGAAATGTAATTTTCGAGAAGCTCAAGTCTTTATTCTTTGTGTTTGGATTAAATTTTTGCTGTTTTGAGAGATCTCCAAGTATGAACTGAATTGTTTTACTATAAATACTTATATTGCTGAAAACTGTGTTTATAGAAGCTCAAGTTCTTGAGTTGTTTACTTGTTTATGATTTTTGAGCATGTTTCAAGTTCTCTTATGTTGTTTATGATTTTTGAGCATGTTTTTTATAGCAAATGAAGCTACAAGTTATTCTGGATTTTGAAATATCATTTTGCAGAAATTCAAGTCCCTATTCTAGGGGTGGACCCAACCGGTTCAACCCGGCCCAGAACCGGCCTGGCCCGCCACTATGCGGGCCCGGACCGGCCCGGTTATTGCTAACCGGGCCCGGGCTTTTACCCGGTTGGGGAGAGTTGGACGGGCCGGGCTCAGGTCCTATATTTGTTGAACCGGCCTGGGCGATTTGGGTCGGGGGCTCGGGGCCGGGTTTTTTTTTTTTTGGGTTTTTCATTTTTTTTTTGTTTTTGTTGGTTAGGGCTAGGTGTTTGGGGGGGGGGGGGGGGGGTTGGAGGTTGGGGGTGAAGGAGGGGGGGTCGGGGTTAATTAGAAAGCAAAAAAAAATTACCTTGACCCGAGCCCGACCCGGTTAGGCCCGGACCCGGTATCAACCCGGGCCATTTCCGGGCCCAACAATTTGAAAAAAAGCCGGCCCAAGTCCATCCCTACCCTATTCTTTGCATTTGGGATAACTTTTTGCTGGTTGAAGGAAACTTCTAGTATGAACTCAACTGTTTTACTATTAGCATTTATATTGCTTAAAGCAAAGCTCAATTCCTTAGAGAAGCTCCTAGTATGAGCCAAACTGTTTTACCGTTAATACTTGTGTATTGCTTAATACTTATATTCCCTCCTCATATGCATCGAATTGTATTAATCTTTCTATCAATTTTCTTAAATGTTACAAGAGTTTGTTGAGTTCAAACAGTTCAATAATCTTTGGTGAGTTGGGCTACAAACACAAGTAGACTGGAATGTCTAAGAACCAGTCGCGATTAGAAATTCCAGTCTCGGTTACAGTTGATCAGCTTTGGGGACCAAGAAATGGCCAGCCAAGAACTGGGCCAGTGGGGCCACCCTCTTCAGGACTCTTGATTGTCCATAGATTTTTTTTTTCAACCTTCGGCCTGGGGTGTTCTGGTGCCTTGTGTTGTATCAAATAAGAATTTGCTTAAGAAGTTCAAGCGGAAATGCAGATGCAACATAAACACTACGATAATTTCTACATTTTATTATGATGTGATGATTATCAATGATCATGATTCATGTTCATGATGACATCAAATTGCCAAGTTGCCTTTGCAGAAACAGTAGTTAAGGTTCTCTTATAATACAATTACACATTTGGAGTAAACCTAAGAATAGTGATCACCATACGCAAGTACTTTAAGTAACACATACTGAGCATTTGAACTGCTTATGCATTCAAGAACTTTATTTTACAACAGCAAAAAGAAAGGTAGGAAAAGATTTTTTTTGCTAAATCAAACTTCATTGATACCCGTCAATAACAAAAGCGGAAGACAAAAGAAGTTGGAATTTTGGAAAGGCTTCATACTTATCCCCCATGCAGAGTTGAAATGAAAATGATGACATCTTTATCTTCTAACACAGCATTAAGCTGCCCATTTAGTTCCCAATCCTCATCATTGATGAGGACTAAGACTCCTGGCCTCCTGCAGCAAAATCACAACTAATTCAAACACTTGGACTTACCAGTCTGTTTTTCAATGCTCCAAATGTGTTGCAATAAAATCATGTGAAGGTGGAACACCTTCAGTTATTCTTAACCCCATTACCCCACATTTGCAATATGGCCATATGGGTGTAGAGCAATATAATGATAACCACTAATCATGATGCTGATTGTGCCAATAATGAAATAGTGTCCTTGCTGATGTGGTTTTTTAATAAATATATAAAATCCATATTAGTATATATCAATGCAAGGGGATACGTAGCTAATGATAAAAACATATCCCTTTCCAATGTTTGTAATCGTTAATACCCAGAAAATAGAGCTCCGTTGCATTTCAAATATTGAATTTCACCAATACATACATCAATTTATCTCCCCCCACAATCAAAATTGCAAAAATCTAAAATTTGCACATAAGAATAACCGTTATAAAGAAAATGTATTTTGAATGTATGCAGTTTACAAAATATCACGAAAGAGGCATTTTGAATGTATGAAGTTTCATATATGTTCTTCAACATCATTGAACATCTTTCTTGATTAAAAATAAAATAAAGGTACAAGTTGCTTTGAAAAGAACAATAATGTTAAATGTGGTCTTAATCTAAATGAACTGTGTTTGGAGTACAACTTACACAGTGTCTCCCTTAATAAACATTTCAGGCCTCTCCTTGATCAAATTCTTGCAAACCCAAGAGAGCAAATATTTCATTGTGACCTGGCAAGGAAGCAACAGAAACATACCACCTCAGTAGTCTAAATCGCTATCTGGTAGCAACTCGGTCAAGGGCTGAGTAGTGAGTAGGACTGAGTACTCAGGATTACATGATGAATACTTGGCCCTATACTAATTAAATTTAAAAATATAGATGTCCAAAACTATGCCAAGTTTGACTGACAAGTGAAATAATAAAGTAAAAATTATGTGGTTAGATTTGATAGAAACCACAAATTCATTGATTAAAAAGGAAAGTGACAAAGTTTTTGGGACATCCAAAAAAGGAAAGATGGCAAAGTTACAAGGGACGGAGGGAGTATTAGTCTTATACTACCTCCGTCCCAGAGTAAGGTTCACATCCACTATTCATCCGGTCAACTTAAATTGTTCTTAATCTTTTATTTTATATATCCAACTTTTATCAATTTTGATTTTTTTTTGCGACTTTATAAGAATTTTAATATAGTTTCTGAATATATAAATTTTATTCAATAAAATATTTTTTTTATTGATAGGGATCAATTAACTTTATGGCCAGTCGATTGTCGTAAAACGAAACGGGAACCTTTACCCGGGACAGAGGGAGCATAATTCTGAGATATGGATAAAATAATACTCCCTCCGTCCCTAAATTATCTTCAAACTTTCCTTTTTCGTCCGTCCCAAAATTATCTCTTCTTCCCTCTTTTAGCAAAAAAATTGTGGTTCACAACCATTCTTACACATTCTTACACATTTCTCTCTCCTCTGCACAACTCTCCACCACACAAATCCCACTATCTTAATAAATGTGCCAAGCCGAAAAGGGAGAAAGATTAGGGACGGAGGGAGTAATAATAACCTAATGATGAAGTAGCAAAAGTCATAAACATTTCAGGTTTCCATAAAACCATTCATCTAACTTGTATGAGCCGATCTATGAAATACTTAGTTTTTTCCATTTTTTATAATACCCACTCATTACTCATAAATTTCATAGTATCCCAAGAAAATAGAGTGACAATTATAAAAAATCCATAGTATCCCACTTAAGTTTAAACTTTAAACTTTTCAGATTTAACCCAAAAAAACATTTAGTAATTGCCAAATAACTAGCCGAGTCAAAATTTTCACCAAGTTAAGAAACTCGCTGAGTACTGTCACGACTCTCCTGAACACCGCGGCATTAAGGGGCATAGGCCGCGGCATACTGAGACCTGGAGGCGAGATGGAGTCTAGAGATGCCTAAGAGAGAGGGGCAGAATCCTGGAGGCTAAGAGAACCTTCTAGACTCATGTAGATAAGTGTACACCTGTATAGAATAGAGTAGAATACTCTAGAATCTCATAGAGTTGTATAGAATACTCTAGAATTCAATTGTAGCCGTTAGATCAAGTAGATCTAAGCCGTCCATTGAGGAGGAGGATAAGTATAAATACCCCTCATGGCTGGCTCATTTGTATCATCGAAAGCTTGAGAGCAATAAAGCCTTTATACAAGTTTCTCCACTATCGGTGTCCTAGTTTCCGCAAGAGTTAGGCTGACTAGCATAGTCTGAGTGAGTGTTGCTAGTGCCGCACGGGTTCGAGAATAAGTCCGTGACAGTTGGTATCAGAGACAAGGTTTTTGGTTTCGTGTCCTTGAGAAGAGATGGCCGGTTCAGATAGCGAGACAACTCACATGGATGCCGGGAAGCAAACCAAGAGGAGAAGGTCCAAGTCTCGAGAAGCCATGACGGAGGTGGAGACTCGGCTAGCCAAGGCGGAGCTTGCCATAGCCGATGGGGAAGAAAGGTTTGAGGAAGTCGACCAACGCATCGTGGAACTTGCGAAGAATGGTGAAGATCTTCGAGGGGAGGTGCAAGGAGCGGTCAATGAGATCCTCGACCGGTGTCTTTCCGAGGTCAAGAGCTTGGAGGGGACTTTTATGACCATGGTTGCTTCACTGCGGGAGGAGTTGGAGAAGGTCACCAACGAGTTGGTGGAAACCAAGGAAGAGCTGGTCCTATGCAAGAAGGCGGTCGTGCAAGGAGGAAGCACGTCGTCAAGTGAGGTAAGTCCTACTCCCTCTAAGGTTGATGTTCCTAGACCCAAGACATACAAAGGGGTTAGGAATGCTAAGGAGATAGAGAACTTTGTGTGGAGTATGGAGCAATACTTCAAGGCTCTTGGTATTGTTGATGATACCAAGAAAGTTGACACGACAACCATGTATTTGGAGGATACCGCCATGTTGTGGTGGAGAAGGAAGTACGGGGACCGAGAGAAGGGTCTTTGCACTATAAACACGTGGGAGGAGTTCAAGAGTGAACTCAAGAAACAGTTCTGCCCTATGAATGCGGAAGAGGAGGCGAGAGCTAAGCTAAGGCGTTTGCAACACAAGGGAAGCCTGCGTGAGTATGTGAAGGAATTTACTGAGGTACTCCTAGATATCCCTGACTATCCTGATAAGGAAGCTTTCTTTGCTTTTACGGATGGGTTGCAAGGTTGGGCTAAGATCGAGGTCCAAAGGCGTGGGGCTCAAGATCTCGACACTGCCATTGCTATTGCCGAGTCCTTGGTGGAGTTCAAGAAGCCGGAGAAGGTGAAGCCACCGACTAAGGAGAAGGGCAAGGAAAAGAGTGGGGGAGACCACCGTCCACACAAAGAAGGTTTCCAACACTTTGACAAGAGCAAGGGAACAAAGGAGACCAAGACATGGGAGAAGAGACCGTTGAAGTGCTTCTTTTGTGATGGGCCACACAAGGCAAAGGATTGTCCGAAGAAGGCCAAGCTCTCGGCCTTAGTTGAAGAAAGGGAGGAACGAGAACGGGAGGAAGCTATGGTGGGTTCCCTTCACATTCTCAATGCCATTCAGGCCAAGGTAACCAAGACCAAGACGGAGAAGAAGGGGCGTTTGTTCGTGGAAGCTAAGGTACGTGGACAAACTACTAAAGCCCTTGTTGACACTGGTGCTTCTCACAACTTCTTAGAAGTTAAAGAGGCAAAGAGATTGGGCATCCCCTATGTTGAAGACCATGGTTGGTTGAAAGCTGTCAACTCGCAACCTAAATCAATCTATGGAGTGGCTCGTGGGGTTAGGGTTACCTTGGGCGAGTGGAGTGGCTTAATTGATTTTTCGGTCGTTCCTATGGACGACTATCCTATCGTGTTGGGCATGGAGTTTATGGATTCGGTGAAGGCAATACCGATTCCGTTTGCCAACACTATGTGCATAATGAAGGAGGGCGAGACTTGCATGGTGAAGCTATCCCGAGAGGAGAGGATTCAGTCCAAGCAAATCTCGGCCTTGCAACTTGCCAAGGGCATGAGGAAGCGGCAACCTACATACCTAGCCATCTTGAAGGAGGAACCAGTGCCGACAAGTGGTATGCCGGAGGGAGTGGCCAAGGTGCTCGTGGAGTTCAAGGACGTGATGCCGTCTGAGTTGCCGAAGAGACTTCCGCCCAAGAGAGATGTGGACCACAAGATCGAGTTGATCCCCGGGTCTACACCACCAGCAGGTGTGCCATATAGGATGGCCCCACCAGAGTTAGAAGAAATGAAGAGGCAGTTGAAGGACTTGTTGGATGCGGGATACATCCAACCATCCAAGGCACCCTATGGCGCACCCGTGTTGTTCCAGAAGAAGCATGATGGGTCATTGCGTATGTGCATCGACTATAGGGCGCTAAACAAGATTACGGTGAAGAACAAGTATCCGATTCCACTCATTGCGGACTTGTTCGATCAGCTTGGAGGAGCAAAGTGGTTCTCAAAGTTGGACTTGAGGTCGGGCTACTATCAAGTAAGGATTGCCGAAGGAGACGAGCCGAAGACCACATGTGTGACAAGGTATGGTTCCTTCCAATTCCTTGTAATGCCATTCGGACTCACGAATGCTCCAGCTACGTTTTGCACCCTCATGAATCGGGTATTTGAGCCGTTCTTGGACAAGTTCGTGGTGGTTTACTTGGATGACATAGTCATCTATAGTAAGACTTTGGAGGAGCACATTGATCACCTAAGGCAAGTGTTCCAGAAGTTGAGGGAGAACGAGCTCTATGTGAAGAAGGAGAAATGTGCCTTTGCTCGAAAGGAGGTGACGTTCCTTGGGCACATTGTTGGAGGGGGCAAGATCCGGATGGATAAGGCGAAGATCGAGGCAATATGCGGATGGGAGCCGCCCAAGAAGGTGACCGAGTTACGATCCTTTCTTGGACTTGCAAACTATTACCGACGGTTCATTCAAGGCTATTCTTCTATAGCATCTCCACTCACTGATCTGTTGAAGAAGAAAGTTGCATGGAAGTGGGACGAGAGGTGCCAACATGCATTTGAGGAGTTGAAGAGAATTGTGACCGAGAAGCCTGTCCTAGCACTCCCTGATCACACAAAGCCGTACGAAGTCCAGACCGATGCCTCAGACTTTGCTCTAGGAGGAGTATTGATGCAAGAAGGGCATCCCATTGCCTATGAGAGCCGCAAGCTGAATGATACTGAGCGCCGCTATACGGTCCAAGAGAAAGAAATGACAGCCGTGGTGCATTGCTTGAGGACGTGGAGGCACTACTTGTTGGGGTCCAAGTTCGTGGTGAAGACGGACAACGTGGCAACAAGTTATTTCCTCAATCAAAAGAAGTTGACGCCGAAGCAAGCAAGGTGGCAAGACTTTCTTGCAGAGTTTGACTTTGTGATGGAGTATAAGCCGGGGAAGACGAACAATGTGGCTGACGCATTGAGTAGGAAGGCCGAGCTAGCTGCCATCACAAGCCCGAGTTTTCCTTTGGTGGATCGAGTCAAGGAGGGACTGGAGCATGACCCAAAGGCCAAGAGTTTGATGGAGTTGCCAAGTCGAGGGAAGACACGCCAGTTTTGGCTTAGAGAGGGGTTGCTCATGACCAAGGGAGATCGGATCTATGTGCCGAAGTGGCAAGGATTGAGGAAAGAGATCATCAAGGAATGCCATGATTCGAGATGGGCTGGACATCCCGGAATTAGACGCACGATGGCACTGATAGAACGTGCGTACTATTGGCCCCAAATGAAGGAAGAGGTGAAGTTGTATGTGAATACTTGTCTTGTGTGCCAACAAGACAAGGTGGATCAACAACAGCCAGCAGGGTTGCTGGAGCCGTTGCCCACACCAGAGAAGCCGTGGGAGAGCATATCTATGGACTTCATCACATGTTTGCCTAAGTCCGAGGGGTGTGGGAACATCATGGTCGTGGTGGATCGGTTTAGTAAGTATGGAGTGTTCATACCTGTCCCTACGAAGTTCACCGCTGAAGATGCTGCACGCTTATTCTTCAAGCATGTGGTAAAGTATTGGGGCATACCGAAGACCATCGTAAGCGACCGAGATACCCGTTTTACCGGGAAGTTTTGGATGGAGCTGTTCAAGATAATGGGGTCCGAGCTTAACTTCTCTACGAGCTTTCACCCCCAAACCGACGGCCAAACCGAGAGGGTTAATGCCTTGTTGGAGCTGTACTTAAGGCATTACGTGAGTGCAAACCAGCGGGATTGGGCAAAGTTGCTTGACATAGCTCAATTCTCATACAATTTGCAAAGGAGTGAGTCGACGGGGGCAAGTCCGTTCGAGATTGCCACGGGACAGCAGCCGGCTACTCCGCACTCTTTGGCCGTGGGATATCGAGGTCCGAGTCCATCCGCGTTCAAATTTGCCAAGGGATGGCATGAGAAGGCCGACATGGCGAGGGCATACTTAGCTAAGGCTTCGAAGAAGATGAAGAAGTGGGCCGACGCTAAGAGGAGAGACTTGGAGTTTGAGGAAGGAGACTTAGTACTAGTAAAGCTCCTTTCCCACCAGAAGCATACGTTTGCCAAGCTGCACAAGGGGTTGGTGCGGCGATATGAGGGTCCGTTTCCCATAGAGAAGCGGGTTGGTAAGCTTGCTTATCGCTTGACATTACCCTCACACTTGGAGATTTATCCGGTGTTTCACGTGAGCTTGCTTAAGCCCTACAAGGAAGATAAGGAGGATCCGAGTAGGGGCATTTCGAAGAGAGCACCGACAGCTATAACAAAGGTTCCCGAGCGCGAGGTTGGAGAGATATTGGCTCATAGAGTCATTCCGAGGAGAGGCGCACATCCGAGCTACGTGGAGTACTTCATCAAGTGGAAGGATGCTCCGGACAGCGAGGCAAGTTGGGAACACGAGTTAACCTTGTGGAACTACAAGGGTTTGATAGAGGCTTACAGGAAGACCACGACGAGGACGTCGTGAGATTGAGTGGGGGAGAATGTCACGACTCTCCTGAACGCCGCGGCATTAAGGGGCATAGGCCGCGGCATACTGAGACCTGGAGGCGAGATGGAGTCTAGAGATGCCTAAGAGAGAGGGGCAGAATCCTGGAGGCTAAGAGAACCTTCTAGACTCATGTAGATAAGTGTACACCTGTATAGAATAGAGTAGAATACTCTAGAATCTCATAGAGTTGTATAGAATACTCTAGAATTCAATTGTAGCCGTTAGATCAAGTAGATCTAAGCCGTCCATTGAGGAGGAGGATAAGTATAAATACCCCTCATGGCTGGCTCATTTGTATCATCGAAAGCTTGAGAGCAATAAAGCCTTTATACAAGTTTCTCCACTATCGGTGTCCTAGTTTCCGCAAGAGTTAGGCTGACTAGCATAGTCTGAGTGAGTGTTGCTAGTGCCGCACGGGTTCGAGAATAAGTCCGTGACAGTACCCGGCAAGTAATTCAGAAAGACAAAACACGCCGAGTCACAATGCTAAACGGCAAGGCCACCGCAGAGTTGCGAGTACTCAGCGAGTAGATAACACAACATACCACAACTATGGAACAAGGAAGAATATAAAATGAATCAAGTGTTTAGAATGAGGAAGCGGTCCAACCCAGCTGGTCGCCGACTCACTCTCCCTTACGGGAGGTCTCGGGTTCGAAACTCAATGCAATGAGTTTAAGCCTAGATTACTCCAGGCTCCCCCAGCCCCCCTTCCCCAGACGCCCCCTGGAGTAAAAAAAACAGAGAGAGAGAGAGGACAGTCATCACAATCAATAGGACTCACCTTTGTCCCACCATCTTCAGGTGTAATGGAGATTTCATGTATCTTCATAGAATTGCAAAGAAGTTCCAATCCACCTCTGTACATTGCAATGAAGATTTCCAAGTAGCACGGAAGAACACAACCAGACAATTTTAAAAATTGAAATACAATAATTCAAAATCTTCAAGTACACAGCGATGGAAAATTGAGAAGCCTATTTAAGCAAGAATTTCTTATGAGCAAAAGAAGTGGGGAACATGTTTCATTCACTAGCCACATTGTAATAGGTTTAATCTTCCCACACTATGTGTTGGACAATTCCCACGTCTAAAAAAAGAAAAACAATTGGACCTTAACCAAATGGGTTTTGGGTAGTTTTTTCCCTTTAAAACATACACTCTAACCAATTGTGACTACATCATCATATACTTTGTGATGGGTTCCGGGGTGATTCCATATGAGTTGAATACTTGTTCCGCTGAGCAACTTGTGTTCACGTTACTTCACATATACAATGCAAAAAGAGCTTATTACAAATTTAATGCTTAAACACGATGGAATAATCATTTTCTATTAAATCTAAATACTACTCGACTAAGTTGCATGGAAACGGGAAACAGGAAACGTGGGAAACGGGATTTTTAGAAAATATAAGAAACGAAACGAGGGGGAAACACATAAATATAAAAATTTAGGGATATTTTTGTAAAAAATATATATGACACTAATAATAATAACATTAATAATTATAATACTTCATCAAGAAAACTCAAATCTAGAAATTGTTCACATACCAATGCATAACAAATATAAAATGCAACATCAATAAAATAAATCAAAATATCAAAAGCATATTAAAAAAATTTACTCCGTGCGTTAACTACAAAACAAATCACAATAAGAGTATCAAAATAATGCCAAATAAATTGAATACTCAAACTTTTACATATATAAGAGGTAAGAGGTGTGGGTCTTTCAAACACGGTCACATCTAAAAACAAAACCAGAGCAACAGTATTCATTTGTAATCAACAAACCAGAGAAGCGGAGCAAAGTCGCAGATACAGAAAAACAGAGCGATTAATAACTAAATTTGGACTCCTTGAGTGACTGAGACGCAGCCTGAAGCGACGAAGCATGAACCTCGAAGACGCTGAGCGAGTGAACAGTAATGACGTATACTCGTACAGCTGAAGCTTGAAGACGATGAACATGACCAAAGGGCTTAATGTAATTTATAGGGGTTAGGGCATAAATCAGTGGCAGAGACGTGTGAATTTGAGAGTTCCTAAGAAGGAAGGAGTCTACTGATGGGAAATTAATGAAGCCTATTATCGGTAAGTTAGTAATTTTAGACTTCAAAATTTCCCAACCTCAGCAGATAGTTTCTGAAATGCAGCTAAAACGCGTTTCAACTTCCCCATATTACAGAAATGAGCCCAACACGCGTTTCTCACGTTTTATTAATTTGGAAACACTCCAACGCTTCAGAAACGGGGAAACCTACATAGTTTGACGTTTCCATGCATCTTAGCTACTTGATGCTTGGTTTATTGATGGACAAGAATATAATGAAAACAGTCCGAAAAAAATCAGAAACATATGAAATTAATGAAAGCTCTCCATTGTATGTTTCTGATTTTTCGGAGCATAGAATGGAATTTTTGGTAAAAACATTTTTGGAGCATGGAATGGAGTTGTTTGTATTGACTTGTATTTAGGTAAGCCTTTTTGGAAAACGTTTTTCATCTAAAGAGAACCAGTGCAGGAAAAATTTCATGAATTCATATATTGTGTAGATACAAACATACCCGAATTCGAGAGTCAGTTTCATATCTCGTGATACTGGTATTGGCTTACGAAACCCTGAAACCTAGATCAAAACAAGACAATAAATAGTAAATACAATGCTGCATAGAGCCCACGCAACACACAAAAACAAAGAGAACAAAATGGATGGAGAGAAATGATTTTTTTGAGGCCACACCGGGGGTGGAGGAAAAGGGTAGCTGTTACATTCTTGGGATAATTTTTCCTTTAAAATCAAATCTTTACCAATATTGAGTGATAAATTGGGACAATGTGACAGGAGGTTTTTTTTAATCATTCCTCTTTACCATACATCCATTTTCATCAATACACGCTTAGGGGAGTGTTTGCAAGGGCTTCTACTTTTTAAAAAGTGTTTTTTGGAAATTATATGAGAAGTGATTAATAGTATGGTCAGTAGTGTTTGAAAAGAAAAGTGATTTTGAAAAATAAAAGTTAGAGTGTTTGATGAAAAAGTGTTTTTTGGTGTAATAAAAAGCAAAAGCATTTAAAAGCATCACTCTCCATGCTTTTAGCTTTTCATTTAAAACTACTTAAAAATAAGTAAAAGTTGGTATTAAAAACACCCATTTTAGCTTTCCCCACCCAAATTTCTGTTTTTAAGCCCTTGCAAACACTCCCTAATTGTGAAAAAAGGCTTGGCAACTATTGTTATGGATTCATTGTTTTGCTCTGTTAAAATTGAGCTTATTTCTATAAATGACTATACTAATTCATGGATTGGGCAGAAAAAAGCAATCAGTCTAGATGTCATACTAATTGAGGCCTAAAGAAATTTGGGAGAGAGGTGTGGAGTGGTTAATATGTTTCTTTAACAAGATTTGGAGAAACAACAAAATGTTTACTCAATTGGCAGAAGAGTACTCTTATCCTCTTATGAGAATAAGAGTGTTGTACTCTTATCCTACTCTTATCCTCTTATGGGTCACACAATGGAAGTTTGGGACTTGGGAGTAAATGCTTGATCAGGTATTTATCAGGTATTTATCCAAACAATACTACTTTTAAGATAATTAGCCTTAAGCTACCTGCAATCATGCTATAATTACTTATATCATAGTTATACCAGTTTGTTAAATATAATTAGTTTAACTACTTCATCAATTAATTACAAAAAATAAAAAATAAGAACCTAATTTGTTAAATTTGATATAGATTCGTAGGCTTAATAGATAATTAAAATCAGCAACTCAATCACAATATCACATAATAATCAAGAAGATTAATAAATAATAATAATAATACCAAAAAAAATAAGAAAAGTAATAACTTTCAACGAGGTAAACTTACGTCCTTCAGCAAATCAACAATTCACTACTTCAGCGGCCTGGCGACACGGTCAGACACGCTAGGCGGCTCAGCGAAGACGCAGGTTGAGCGACTTAGCGGACGGGAGGCGTGGTGCGGTGCGGGCACTGGACAGTGGTCGGCTTTCCGCGTTCGGTAGTGGTCGTCACCTCATCAGCAGCCCGTCTCCCGTTTTCTGTTTTTTCGCTTGCAGAGGGCGATTCGCTTGTCGATGGGGTGGATGCGTGTGAACTATGAAGCACGGATACCTTCCCTTACTGTATTGGAAATGCTTACCATTTTTTGGTAATTATTATTTCAAAATTTCGAAATAATTACATAATAAAATCTATATAATATAGTAAAACACAAAATTCTCAAGGAGGGAGGACAAGGGGTGTTGGGCGGGAAAAAACGTTTCTAAAAAATAGATGGCACACAGGCCTTAGAATACGGAATACTAAAAGCTTTATAATAAGTGCAAAAAAAGCTTTATTGAGTGAAACAATAATAAGTGCTAGAACAACAATAAATGCTAAAGCAATAATTGAAGTAACTTTTTGAGTTCCGAAGAGTATAAAAAATGGAAGTGACTTTTAGAATCTCACTAAAACATAATTTTTTAAATGGGAATTTTACTCCATAGTTAATTGGACCGAGCTTCAAAATGACTTAGAATAGATGGGACCGAGCTTTAAATGGGAAAAAACGTTTCTTCAATATGACCGAGCTTTGAATGGGAAAAAACTTCTAATATAAATAGCCCATCGAGTGACACCACCAAACCAACCTTTTTGCCAACAAGTGTTCTATGCTAGCCAAACAACTATTGTCGACGTATGAATTTTTCCTTATGTTTTTTTTCACTCTTCCAATCAAATTAATCTCTTCCGATTGAAGTGCTTTTTGCGGCCAATTATTCATACAATTCTGATAATTTTGCTTAGATTTTTTTTTTGCTTGAAGATGTCTCCAACGTTTGGTTTGGTGAAGGATATTACGCCTAGGGACACGCATTGAGCACTTCGTCTGCGTTTGCTTTGTGTGTACGACAACATAAGCGACACAGGTGACATTAGAGGATTGGAATGTGTATTCCATGATAATGAGGTAATAATTACATTCTTTATTTGAATATTATTATTTATTTGTGGAGTTTGTCCATCTAATGAAGTTGATAATTTGTATTCGTTGTAGGGTGCTTGAATCCATGCAACAATAAGGATCGCACAGATGGCTAAATATAGACAAATTCTTAAGGAGCGATGTTTGTATGTTGTCCGTCATTTCATTGTTGCGAATGATGGAAAGAAGTGTAAGACAACGGACAATAAATTTAAGATGATATTTTATGAAAAGACAGAGGTTATCAATTATGAGGATGATGCATTTCCTAACCATGTGTATAAGTTCAAGAGATTTGAATCATTGTTGAATGTGAGAATGATAAATGAGACTGAGCTTTTTGGTGAGTACATTACTGTTAAAATTCATATTTTTGATTTTATGGTATAATAAAAACTTCGTAATAATGTCGTGTGCAAAAAAACTAGATGCTATTGGACAAGTTGTTTCAAAGCAGGCGGTTCGAGAAGTGATTCATAATGGTCGTCGTCATAGGTTGATAGAAGTCACTTTGCAAGGTACAAGGTTCCCTAATTTTTATTCTGACGTTTATTTTTTTAGTGCATGTTTTCTACTTGGCACATATGTATAACTGTAAGTGGTGTGAAATGATACAGGTTGAATCAATTGTCATGCACGCTTTGGGATGACTTTGTTGATCAAATTCTTCCCTATATAGGCGATGATCAGACTGAACCAGTCATTGTGACTTTACAGTTTTGTCACGCGGGAATATTCAGAGGTTAGTATGTTATAGATGATTCATATTTTTTTGTTCCCATTCGTTAGTTAAAATAAAAATTGGATTAATGGTCGTCTATGTGCATATGAAGAACCAAAAATATCAACCAACTACAATGTCACGCGTGTTGTCATCAATGGAGATGATGTTGAATTTGAAAAGTTCAAGAACAGGTTTGAAAATTTATCCAGATCTCCTTTATGGTTAGTTACAGTGATATAACTATAGCATGTTGGGTGTTTAAACAGCTTGCAGGAAGTGAATATACTCACTCAGCTGATACGCACTATTTCAGTAACTACAGACAAACAAATGAGCATTTCTGAGGATCTTGATGGTTTGAAGCAACCACTTAAAACAATAGAAGAACTGTACGAGACTCGAGATGTAATTTTAAGACCATTATAGTTGTGGGTGATTGATGTTTACATCATTGCATTATTAGAGTTGTTTAAAGAGATGAACATAAATGATTTCAGATTGGAAGCTTTTGGATTTATGCCAAGGTCGTGGCAATTGAAAGCGATACAAATTGATGGTATCTTTCATGCACTAAATGCCGCAAGAAACTGGAAAAATCCAGTTCAAAATTTTACAGCACCAAATGCCGCAAAACCTTATTTTGATGGGATTCCAAGGTGATAATAATTTTCAATATAAATATTTTATAAACTATGATCGATTTAAATACCAAAAAAAAACAAAAAAATAACAAAAACATAATGTTGTCAAAGCAAATACGTGAATGCAATAGGTATAAAGTAGTAAACCGAGTGATTGATTCCACTGGAAATGCACCTTTACTCATTTGGGATAATGTTGGGCAAGAAATGTTTGGAAAGGATGCGGTTGAGTGTCAAAACATGATGTTAAGCGTAAGTGTCATTCGTTTTTTTACTGAATTTTAGTTGTAAATTAGTTACTACATCTGTTTAGCTGGATTGTAATTAATTGTTATCAGAGTGGATGTGAGGAGAGTTATGTTCAGCTGAGATAGAGGCAATTGTAGATGTGTCAATGTTGTTCAAGGTTCAGATTAGGGAGGAACAAATTGGAAACTACAATTCAGCTTTCAGTGTGATGAAATTCACAAGAGATGAAGTTCTTATTGAGAAATTCAATGTTAACATGGATGATGGTCAGGTTCACCACTGAGTTTAGATTTATTAATTTTCAAATTATTTAATTATTAGTATAAATGTAAAATAATTTTTATAAAGTTTGGAGGGAATAAAAAATCTATTTATCTTATATAGGAATCTGATTTCATGTCCAAGATGCACATGTTGAGTCTCACTATGAGAAGGTAATTATAGAATTGACATTAGTTATTTTGATTACATCTTTGTAAAATTGTTGAAGTTAAGTTATAATAATCATTTTGATGTGAGTTTTAGCTTATTCGATGGTGTAGGCATATTCTTCACAAGGTGAAGTTACTACCCCTCATGACGGAAAAGCCAACAACGAAGAGCACAAGAATGCGAGCACTTGAGAAAGATTGAAGAGGGATTTGATTGGGGATTCCTCATGCAACTCTTCATTGAATAAGATGAGAAAGATTGTCAAATTGGAGAAATGAGATGATATTTCTCTTATGATTTTAATAATAAAAACTATGTTTTATTTTGCACCATGTTTTGGACAATGATTTTGTTGTGCTCGTGGAAGCATTTGATGGTTTGAGAAATTGTATTTGTTGTTGTTGCATGTTTTGTTTGACCTCTATGTTTTGTAAGAACCGAATGTTTTTGTTTGAACTGAATGTTGTTTGATTTGAACTCATTTATTTATGCTATGATATGGGCTTTGTTTTGAATGATAATTTGTGTCTATTTATTTTGGCGAAATGCTCAGGGCTTTGTGGTTTCCAGGTATATCATTTCAAATTCTTTTATGTTATTAGATTTAAAATAAAATAAAAAAGGAAAAATTTAAAATAAATAAATAAAATATTTAAAAACCTTTAAAAAGTCTAAAAAATAAAATAAAATACCTAAAAAATATTTAAAAATATGCGGGTCACTGCCAACGCCTCCTCTACCTCCAAGCACCACCAGCTCAGTCGCCGGAAAAAATTGCCATCTTGTGAAAAAAATGCCACATTTCTCTGAAAATGCCATGAAGATGGCATTTTTATTCTTTGAAAATATCTAGCTTTCTCTTCAAAATTGTCATCATGATGACATTCCCTCCCCCCCAACCTGGCAATCTTTTCCGGTGATCAGAGGTGGCGGTGCTGGAAGGTGGTTGAGGTGGTGGTTGAGGTCTGTATATTTTTTATTTATTTTTTACGATTTTTATTTTTTTATTTTTATTTTTTTTATATTTTATAATAATTGTTTAAAGAATACTATTAAGGATGTTTTTACTTGGACTGTAATTCGTCCCAGACCAGACCAGACCAGACCAGATCAGACCATACCAGACCAGACCAGACCAGACTTGGATAGTTATAAAAATACAAAGAAACCAGACCAGACCAGTACAAACCAGACCAGACCAGATCAGACCAGACCAGACCAGCAAATTACCGTCCAAGTAAAAACATCCTAAGAAGGACAAAGGAGAGGGTAAAATAGGAAGAGTTGGTCCTATTTTGGGAATTTAAACTTTAAACTCCTATTGTTGCAATTATCCTTTTATTTAGTCCTATTTAGGTAAAACTCCCATAATTTTACCTTGTTTTTATGTGGTACACAACTAATGGGCATATTCATAATTAACTCATCTCTAATTTACTCATCCTGTTATCCCTTCTTATAATTATTCCCAGAAATTAATAGCTCCAACGGAAATATGTATTACAACTTTTAAAATATTGTTTTCTATCTTCATTATTCTGGAACTTTGAGTACTTACATTTTTAATTTCAAAATTGTAGCCTTTTGACTTATTTCTCATTTTAAATTAATGACTTATTGACTACATGTATATTTCGAGATGCACTAGTGTATATGAGATAAAATATGAATTTATTTCTAAGTATCTTGAAAATGTAAATGCTACAATGCCATGAATGGGTAGACGTCAGATAATAATATTGATGGATAGTCTACCCGGGGGTATATATTCGAAGGGTTATTACGGGGAATAACTTAGAGAGAAGTCAGAGCAAACAAGTAAGAGAGAGTGTGTATATTCGATATGTATTAAGCGTGGTTACAAATGGGGAAATTGGGTGCTATTTATAGTAGCAATAAATGTCGGGCAGGGACACGTGTCAAGCGCTCATTGGCCGAGGGGTCACCTCAACTGGTTGGCGCTGGCAGCCGCATGTGGCCGCATTTAATGCGGCTGTTGGACGGGACGTCTGTGCGGGGTACGGTGATCTGTACGCATGTGAGGCAGATATCTTGTCGAGTGAGATGCCTTCGGCTATAGAGCAGTAACCGAGGGCTCTCCCGCCCGATGGCACCCTGGTGCCGAGGGCTCACAGTGCCGAG